TGTCGAGTCAGTTGTTTGTCCTTGCTGTCGCGCTGTATTTGTCAAGTCAAAGGTCGCTGACTTTTGACATTCGCGTAACCTCCATGCGGTTACCCTAACCTCCGAGGGTTGACTCGCGATGCTTCGATTTGGACTGCTTCGCTTGTGTCCTGAGTTTCGACACGACAGAGGCGCTTTAAGACTTATTGTTCCCCAACACTTAGGAGGGGGGTAGTGTTACGGGGTACTTTACTGTTCAAGGGCTAATCACCCTAAACAGTGTTCCGAACCCCATCCCAAACTTATCCTTTCAAATTTCCAGGATTTCCAGCATGCCACGTGGCACTCTAGTTTTCTTGCATTCCCATTCCTAGTCCCACAAACTACTTTTCGACAATTGCTGTTGCATACTATATCAACCTTGCTTGTATTTGCTAATATCATTTAATCTTCAGTCAGTTACTTCTTCACATATTTCGCTAAGACTTCCTCCACCAAAGTCTTCCGCCGCGTTTTTTCTTCAATATATTCAGCCCCGCTATTCTTTAGCGGATTTAGGCCAAGGGGCCTAACAAATATAATGTATTACATTTCCGAAATGAACGACCCTACACCCCACCTCATCCCCAGCGCCTTCCGCGGTGAAACGCGTTCTCAGCTGAGCAGCAAGGACGTGTGGAAACTAGCGAAGACGGTCAGAAAGCAGGTTACGTCTGTCGCAAGTGTCGTGACCTACTTTCTTAGGCGCAAAAACAAAATTCGTTCATGTTCAAGTTTTCGCTGCTCCATCCTCAACTTCATCGTCACCCCCTCTCATCCGCTTGTGCAGCCCTCCGTTTCTCCCGTTGCAATATTCCATGTCGTTCCTTCATCGCGTTCCACCCATCGACCTCCGCGCATCCCGCTCTGCCCATCGACCTCCGCCCATCGCGCTAATGCATTTGCGCACCCATCGGGCATGGCTCGAGCGAATGCACGCCGATGGGCCTCGCCTCCGACGACGGTCGCTGCTGCGCCACCTCGCCGCCCCCCGCCCTTCCGCCACAAATTCCTGATGCATTATTGCGGATAGCCCGCCACGAGTAGTGTTGTGCCCTTCGCGACTCGCTCTCGCTACTCGCTCTCAGCAAATAAATCGCCTATGTGCGTCTTAGCACTCACAGTTGCACTTTTCTCCTTCCCTTTCACCGCCTCTCTCACCTTACCGCGTCTCGCTCCTCCTGTCGATCGCACCTAGCTCATTCCTCTCAATCGCTCGTAATCCAGCACCAGGTATCACCGCCGGCACTACAACACTTATTCACGAAGGTTCGACTCTTCGGCGCGCGGCTGGAAAGAGGTTGAAGCCCGTTCGCCGTGGGCCTGCTTGTCGTCATGGCTCGCCGCGGACGGCCGTCTGTCGTTGGCGTCGTCGCACTCGTCGCCGGGCTCGCTGCGATCAGCCTCCTCGCGACCCACGCCAGCGCAGGTGAGCGCCGTCGTGCTCCCACTATCGCCACTCCCAGTGACTCGCGTTCACTCTTGCTCGCTCATCCGCTTGATTTTGACCACTCTTTTTGGTTGCACTCGTTCTTACAATGCTCTTGCTCTTGTTTGTGGGTGGTGTCGGAAAGTACGTGCGTGAGTGTTGGGGTGCGCGTGAGCGCAGCGCAGGGGTGTGGGTGAGTGCAATTTCTTACCTTTCCAACCCGCCTGCTCTGCTTCATCTCGAAACCGCCTCGACTACCCTGCAGACGCGTGTGCCACCGTGGATTGCGGGTCAGTCGCCTTCTGCTCTGCGGCCGATGATGGCAGCACGGAGTGCCTGTGCGACGGGGGTTATGTCTTCAACGTAACAGACAAGACATGCAATGGTGAGTGGTGGGAGTGTGGCACTGATGCACTATCGGCTGCATGGCTGAATGTCTCAGTGAGCTGCCCGTCGCCTGCCCAGAGTTTACAGCCACCTGCCATTCAGTATCTTTTGCTCCTTGACTTCCCCCCTCATTATTACTTCCACCCTCTCCTTCCCCCCTCATGCCCGTGGCAGATCCGTGCGCGGATGTGGCGGTGCAGTGTCCAGCGAGGGCGGAGTGCGTGGCGAGGAGGGGCAAGGCGGAGTGCGAGTGCGAGATGGGGTACATCCTGCAGAACAACACCTGCACTGGTGAGACTCAACCGCCTCCACGCAATCACATCTTCCCACGTCTCACGCTTCAACAACAGTAACCCCTGAGAAGCCCCCCTGAGAAGCCCCCCTGAGAGGCCCCCCTGAGAGGCCCCCCTGAGAGGCCCTGAAACATCACGCGCCTCATCCATGTTCGCTTCCGCCCCTCATTTCCCCCACACCCCACCCCACACCCTCTTGCCTTTGCATTCCGCTCTCTCCCCCCTCTGCTGCAACAACTCGACGGCACTGAATCCTGGGCATCACCACAACAACAACGTGCGGCGCCCACGGTGCAGATGGGCTGCTGCAGACGCAGGTGGAGGTGGAGGGGCTCACCTACCTCGCGCTCCTCACCTTCGAGAGCCCCGTGCCCATGGCGCACGCCACTGGCGCCATGGCGTGCAGCGACGTGGGTGATCTGGGCGGGGGCAGCAGCACGCGGATCAGCGTGGAGTGGAAGTCGGTTGGCGTGGACACTGTGGGCACCGGCATGTGCAAGAGCCTCTCGTTTCACTCCGACCCCGGCTGTGCGGACAAGGCAGGATTGACCATCGCGCGCCCTGCCATGGTCGGCGGTGCCTTCCCCGTCACAAAAAGGTGAGCGACGGCACTGTGGTTTTGTCTGCTGTGCTGCTTGTGTTTCGAAGGAAGCATGCCAGTCAGTAAAGTTGTTTTGTTCAACGGTGTCCTCTGTGGTGTGCCCTCCCCTTTGCGCCTCACTCGCAGGACTGTGAAAGCAACCCCACCGCAGTCAATCAGCTGTGAGATCGGTAAGTGCGAGCGCAGAAACTTGTCCCGGGCACATGCGCATAGCCCTTGGAGTGTCTTCACCGTCACTGTGAATGCAGCAAGTGCACATAGGCAAGGAGGTTCAAGCACCTTCACCTCTCTTCTGGTTAAGCAAGGTGAACACACAGGCACTGCTCTCTGCACTCGATTCGCTGCCTCCCCATTCCATAGATGCCTCACGCCGCGAGAAACCTTTTTAATTTGTCCGGGCCGCATGCGCATAGTTGTTGGAGTATCAGCACCTTCACTCTGAACGCATGAAGTGCACATTGCGAAGGAGGTCAGGCACCTCACCTCGGGTTCCGAATAGTTGGAGACACGCACAGCTCTTTGCACTTGATTCTCCGCCTCCCCGTATCATGCCATGCCTTATTGACCCCATTCACCCCTTCCCCCTACATGCCTGGCTGGTGCGGTGCTGTCAACAACAGCCACGTGTCACAAGGACTGCGGCACTGCACAGTGCGTGGTGAGGGACGGCGTGTCTGAGTGCAAGTGCCCCTGGAGCCAGGTGTTCGACGAGGCGCACAAGCGCTGCACCAGCAAGTCGCCCGGCCCCACCCCTGGTATGTCGCTCTGTCTGCTATTGCATGTACCCAACGACGAGTAGCTGCCCCATCAGCCGTCCTTGTGTGCAGGCAGAAAGATGAACTCCCCAGGCCGAACCTCCTCCATTGAGAAGCCAGGCCGAACCTCCTCCATTGAGAAGCCAGGCCGAACCTCCTCCATTGAGAAGCCAGGCCGAACCTCCTCCATTGAGAAGCCAGGCCGAACCTCCTCCATTGAGAAGCCAGGCCGAACCTCCTCCATTGAGAAGCCAGGCCGAACCTCCTCCATTGAGAAGCCAGGCCGAACCTCCTCCATTGAGAAGCCAGGCCGAACCTCCTCCATTGAGAAGCCAGGCCGAACCTCCTCCATTGAGAAGCCAGGCCGAACCTCCTCACAAATAATCATCATCTCACTCCTTCCCGCCCCCACCCACGGCAGACCCAAACCCTAGCGGAGGCGCGGACCCGTGTGAGGCAGTGAAGTGTGCGAGGAACTCGCAGTGCGTGGTGAGGAACGGGCAGCCCGTGTGCGAGTGTGATGCTGGCTACACCAAGGCCAACAAGGGCCTCTGCACTGGTGAGATCTACAAGGGTTCTGTTATTTTTTCTGATTGTCTCCGCACGAGCTCCAGAGGCAGCCCCACACCTAGAGGCAGCCCCACACCTAGAGGCAGCACATGAAATCACAGTGCTTCATGTCAGCCCAGCTTGAGTGTGTGTGTGTGTGCTATTGTGTGGCGTCCTCTTGGCCCTCACACGGGCGCTCCTTCCTCCTCGTCTGCTGCCCCACTCAGCCTCATGCTCTTTCCCCTCTCCTCCACGCATCACCTCGCACCACACCAGCTATCTGCAAGCCGGACTGCCCTGCCAATGGCCAGTGCGTGGTGGTGGGAGGGAAGCCCGTGTGTCGCTGCAAGGCGGGCTTCCGGCAGGGCAAGAGCACGTGCACACGTAAGGGCAGAAGGGCGAGGGAGAGCGAGCCCCCATTGTATTGTGCAGCGAGGGAGAGCGAGCCCCCGTTGTATCGTGCAGCGAGTGATTCAAGCCCCCGTTCTCCAACCGCTCCACTGCTCATTGTCTTTCCCCTCTCATCATCATATTGCGAGGAGAGCTGGTGTCTTTCGCCACCATGAATCGTTCTCATTCCCCGCCTGCTTGCTTGCCACCATGCGGTGTTCCATCTCGTTGCCTCTCACCCTCCAACCTTCCCATCTCTCCCACCCGACCCACCCGTCTGACAGCTGTGTGCAAGCCTACCTGCGGTGCCAATGCCCAATGCCTGGCGGTGAAAGGGAAGCCGGCGTGTCAGTGCAGCACGGGATTCAAGTCCATCAACAACAAGTGCACTCGTAAGGGCGAGGACAAATGTGCTATCCTCGTGTTTGTGTCACTCCCATAATTTCCACCTGCAGAACACCACGCGTGAATGAAGCTTTTGTCATCTGTGTTTGCTGCGCTGTAATGTAATCCCTCGGCCCTTCCCCGCTCATCCACCATCCTTCCCATCTCTCGCACCCAACGCACCCATTTGACAGCCGTGTGCAAGCCTGGCTGCTCTGCCAATGCCCAGTGCATGGCGGTGAAAGGGAAGCCGGCGTGTCAGTGCAACACGGGGTTCAAGTCAGTCAACAACAAGTGCACTCGTAAGAGAGGGAGATTGCTCTTCATTTTCTCTTCCATGCCTGTGAAGCTCCAGTGAACCCCATGCTCTTCCCTCTCTTCCAAAACCTTACCACCCACTTGCAAACATATGCTGTGTATGCTGCCTCTGCTCGATTCCCTTCATCTCTTCCTCACTTTTACTTTCATTCTTCCCCTCTCTCTCACCCACCCCACCCACCTCACAGCCGTGTGCAAGCCTGGCTGCTCTGCCAATGCCCAGTGCATGGCGGTTAAGGGCAAGCCGGCGTGTCAGTGCAGCACGGGGTTCCAGCTGGTCAACAACAAGTGCACTCGTAAGAGCGAGGGAGACGCGTATGCTCTCGCGATATTTCTCTCTTCCATGCGTGCCCAGCTCCAGTTAACCTCGTGCATGCGCTTCCCCCCTCGCTCACAACCTCTACCATCACAACCGCCTTGCATCCTATTCTCGTTGACCCACTCCTGCACCGCCCTTGTGCTTCCTCGTTTCTCTACGGTCTTCCATCTCCATGTAGTCATGCCTGGACGGCATTCCATTGACTCTCATACTGCTCTTCGCTTCCCACCACCCATCCACCCACTCAGCCAAATGAGCTGGATCCGCGTGAAGGCGATTCAAGGCTTCAATATGTGCTCTCAAGAGGCCGTGTTACTCAACAGCAGAGAAGAGGTGCAAGTGGCTGCATGTGGTGTGGTTGCTCGGAAGGCAGGAATGAAAGTTAGATGGCGGTGTGGAAGACCAAGTGTAGGGGGGGGGGGGAGGGGGGATTTTAAAGTTTCTGTATTGTGCAATGATTATCGTCTCGTGTACCATAGACTTCAATTCTTCTTTGCATGTTACGGTATGTTTCTCTGTTTCTAATTATTCGCTCCACGTCTCCCTTTGGAACAAACAATGTAGCGATGGTGTGAAAAGGCAAGAAATAATTACTAGGCTGATGAGACCTGATAGACTTCTCATCACAGTGGCCTTGTATTGTAATGTGTGCACGAATAGTTGGAGGCGAGGAGACCTCGGTTGGTGTTGGGCAGAGAAAAGCCCTTAGGATCTTTCAAGGTTAAGACCCTGAGTAGGAATGTTTTAGTTGCGAAAGCGTTCTTATTAGTGAACTTGTTGAACCAACTTGCACTAGTGTGTGAGAGCAAGAGATTGATTATACCAGGGCAATACAAAGGTTTATTTATATGATTACAAGGAATATGAAAAGGTGCATCTAACTGTTTTGCTGTTGCGGTTCGATACAGTAACGACTCGAGCAACTGCTCAATACCGAGTCAGTTGTTTGTCCTTGCTGTCGCGCTGTACTTTGTCGAGTCAAAGGTCGCTGACCTTTGACCTTCGTGTAACCTCCAGCTGTTACTTTCTGTCAACCTCCTCGGTTGACTCGCCGTTGCTCCACTGTGATTCGCCTCATTTGCAGTCTATTGTTTCGACACAACAGAAGCGTTAAATTACTTGTTTCCAACACTCCCCTTCGCTTCTGGAGTGTCGATGCTGATGACGTGGCCTTGTCCAGTCAGCACCATGCAATACTCGAACTTCTGCTATCCGAGTTTCTTGGTCAAGTAATCGGCTGCCATCTCGGATGTGGGACAGTAGGATAGCTTGCGTCTCCCCTTCTCGATTCTGCCTTTTACGAAGAAGTACCGGAGGACGATGTGTTTCGTTCGATTCGCGAACCCGTTCTTGTTCGCTATGCGAATGGCCGATTGGTTGTCGCAGAACATGGAGAAGCTGGGTAACTGAGCCAGCTTTGCTTCTTCCAGTAGTTCGCGAAGGTACAATCCTTCCTTGGTGCCTGAGCAGAGTGCGATATATTCTTCTTCAGCTGAGGAAAGAGCAATTAGTTCTTGCTTGCTCGACTGCCACGAGATGGGGCCGATAGGTTCGAGTCGGTAGAGGTAGTTGGTGCGCGATCGCCTGTTGTCGGAGTCGCCGGCGTGATTAGCATCCACATAACCGATTAGCTTGTGTGTCGTAGTTCCGGTCTTGTGGTAGGTTAGACCGATCGTCGGGGTGCTGACGAGGTAGTGAAGTGCATGGTCGAGCTCCGCCATGTGATTTGCTTCAGGCTTCTTAAGGTAGGTGGCGAGTTGGCTAGCTGAGTAAGATAGGTCCGGTCGGCAGGTAACGCCTGCGAAGAGTAGACAGCCTAGCTTTCGTTGGTAGTCGCGAATGCCGGCGGATTTGAGTAGAGCGGAGGCTTCCTTGCGATTTCCGTCGGTGTAACGATATGGTGTAGTGATGGTAGCTGGGGTTAGTCCGAAGCGTTTGGCGATGGTGTCGGCGTATTTTGCAGCGCTCAGATAGACGTGTTCTCCCCTTGTATGTTGAGTCCCAGGTACTGAGTTACGGTAGACGAGACGGTAAGCGTGGGGTTCCACTGCAGCTCCCCTTCGAACCAAGTCATGATGTCGTCAGTTGAGCCGATGTAGAGTAGGTCGTCTACGTAAACGATAAGCAGGATGTAGTCGGTCCCCTTAGTGAGTCGGTACATTCCTTGGTCATGCGGTAGTTGGCGGGATCCGATGCGAATTAGTCGGGCATGAAGATACTGCTGCCACAGCCTCGGAGCTTGCTTGATGCCGTACAATGATTTCAGTAGCTGACAGACTTGATTGGGGTCTGTGTTAGAGCCGTGTGGTTGTTCGACGAAAATCTCAGCATCGACGGGAGCGTACAGAAAGGCGTTGGCGACGTCGATTTGGCGGAGCTTCTTCCGCTTCATGGCGGCTATCGCGAGAAGAATCCGTAGTGAGGTGTGTCGGCTAACTGGCGCGAAGGTTTCGGTGAACGCACGTACATATTGGAGTTGGAGCTAAATCCCGCGGTGAGGTTGGCGCTTCTGTGAACTTCGCGTGGAGTTGGAGTCAACTGCTGCGCAGGAGTCGGTGGAGTATCGTCGACGAAAACTGGTGCCGTTGAAGGACCCGCGATTGGTGTCATAGTCGGTGTTGCCTCGGTGCTGCCGGCGTTGTCTCTGCTGCTGCGAGTGTTGTCTCTGCTGCTGCCGGTGTTGTCTCTGCTTCTGCTGATGTTTTCTCTGCTGCTGCCGATGTTTGTTGAATTGTCACTAACGCTCTCGTTCGTTCAGCTTCATGTATAGAGTGCGAGTACCAGAAGCCTCCAGGACTGAAGCCGGGGTCGAGATCTAGCGGGTGTGTTCAAGAGGTGAAATTGACGATGGCAGTCACTGTCGGCGGTGCCTTGGTCTGGAACGAAGTCAAGAACGAAGACATTGTTCTATTAGACTGCCTTGCCGATGTAGAGCCCACGTTTCCCGTGGTACAGCTTGAACTCCTGGGTGGTGCTGTCTGCTTCGAGATGAATTCCCTTCGCCATTAGTTGATTGACGCTGAGTAAGTTATAGCCGAGTCCTTCTGCGATAAGAACCTTAAACATCTGCAGAATTACGTTGGTTTCTCGAGACTGAAGTTGAACTATCCCCTGTCGTCGTGTGCGCAGGTTCTGGTTGTTGGCGACGGTGATTACGACTTCGCGCTGAAGTTGGTGTTCCCGTTGAACGAAGCGACCTGATGAGCATATGTGCTGTCCGCAACAGCTATCCAAGAACCAGGTGTCTTTCCCGGACGGCTCACTCTAGGCGATGGCTGCGTACGTCAGATTCGGCTCCAATGATTCATGGCGAGGGGTGCTTTCGTCGAGTTGTTCTTCTGGTGAGTAGTATGGTGGTGATCCGGTGATGCAGGAGTCTGTTGTTCTTGCCATGCAGCTTAGGATGTTTCTTGCGCCTTGTGCAGGTTTTGTCGTTGATGTCGTTGAGGACTGTACTTGATTGGTGGGATGCGCTTGTGTAGAAGCAACTTGACTGCTTGAGGGCCGAAGTTGACGTTGCAGCAGCGTTGACTGCTGTTGATTCGGGCAGTGTGTGCGAGGGTGTCCTGACGTCTTGCAGAGATGGCAGAATGGTGGTACGTATTGTTGAGCTTGATGTTTGTTCTGTTGATTGGTGTTGTTGTATTGCCGTTGAGTGTGGAACGCGAACTCTGGTGCTGACGCTCTCTTCTTGTGTCGTTCTTCGTGTAGGTCCATGTACTGCTGTTCAGCGTGAATTCCGGCGCAGAGTGCTGCTTCGGAGATCTTCCCGTGAGCTTGGAGGATAGCTCGAGTGGAGCGCCAATGAGGACCGAGGCCAGTAATGACAACTGTCACCAAGGCTTCTTCGGATATCGATCCTCCGCATCGAAGGAGTCTGTCGCGCAGTCCACGATAGCGGCCGATATACGCCATCCCCTTTTCGCCGGGTTTCATTTCAGCTGTTGTCAGCTGTGCCATGAGACGACTTTGATTAACATTCTCTGTTGCTTGATGAGAAAATGAACGAGAATGAATTGACTAAGGGAAAGTTGGGTACAAGTACAAACCCTAGAAAGTCGTACCCAATATGTGCTGTCAGAATCCCACCAACCACTAGACCATTGGGATAAAAGGGCTTGTTAAGTAGCGGGTCAGAGTGCGCCCATAACCCCCCAGGCGAACGCGCCTGTAACCCCCCGTAGGATCAATCGGGCATCCACAGTGCAGATCTACTGACATGTGCTACCCCACTATAGCCTACAACAGCTATGTCATATAAATCTGACACACCCCCATAGGCAAAGTGGGGGAGAACAAGGGGTCACAAGACCAGTCAAGCAAAGCAAAGCAAGCTCAGGGTGGATCACAAAGTCACCACACATTCCGAGCACAAGTTCAAGGCCACAAGGCCAGTTCACATGCAGGATTACATATATATATAAGGCTAGACAAGCAAGAGTAGGTGTATATATATATGCAACAGTACAAACAAGGTCAAGGGGTGAGCAAGTGAGGCAAGGTAGGCACAAGACCCAGCTGAGTACAGAAGCGCTGATGATCACAAGGCGCAAGTGCCTTGGTGAAGATATCAGTAGTGTTGGCCTTAGAGGCCACATACGCAAGGCGCAGCTGACCACGCTGCTGTAGCTCACGAGCAAGGAAGTAGCGAAGAGCAATGTGCTT